GAGCCTTTGTGAAACAGATGGTTTTTATACTCTTTGTCAGCATGGAATTGGGACTTAATTGCCCAAGGAATCCCATCTTCATGTAATGAATCTGTATTATGATTTTTATAAATACAAACCCGCTACCAAATCAGAAGGAGTAGCTTTATGAAAGGATATTAAAAGGGTGTGGAAAATGTGGATTCCTGTTCATTTCTTTCTACCTTGTCTCTTGATAATTCACAGGGGTAGTTGAAATCAGTTTTTCTTATTCAATTGCTCCCTAAATTGGAGCTAGAAAGAATTTCTGCTCAATAGATCTAGATCAGTGGCCCCCAACCTTTTGGGTAACAGGGACTGGTTCCGTGGAAAAGGTTTTTCCACGGACCCAAGGGGGCGTGGTTTTGTGTGCTGCCTGCATCCCGCGGATGGGACTTAGCTTGTTTGCGTGGGCCGATTTCTGGCATGCTGCAGACCTGTGCTGGTCCAGGGACCCCTGATCTAGGTGGTCCAAATTTGAGAGCTGATTTAAATGAACAAAATTGATAGCTGCTCAGAGTGACCTTAAGGTTAAAATGGGCAGCTTATAAATTTTATAAATAATCAAATAAATAACAAATAAATGAATACAATACAACTCAAGAGGGAGCCAGCAATGGAATTAGTTCTCCCAACTTGTTCTTCTAACGTATATTTTTTGTCCATACCCCAGTGATATAAATGGACCTGCTTGGTCCATAACTTGACCATTTGGTTTTGTACAGTATGATTCAAGATATTCCTGATGAAAAGAAAAAAAATCTATAGACCACCTCACTGCTAACACTCTGGGTAAATTATGAAAACTAGTTTTTCAGAAATTTTAGGTGTGTTTTAAAGAAGGAGCTCTATGATTGAAGGGTGTTCCTGTTTTACTTTTGATTAAAATAAAATTGGAGGAAAATCTGGAAGATTGCTGCTACAGTATATATTGCATTGGATAAATCTTAGAACCTTAAAATGAAATATGGGCTTAGGCTGCAGGAATTAAAATCCCTGGTTGAGATTGCATTTGGTATTGCCCAGGAGGCTGCTGCAATTTTTGCAATTTATTTTGCAAATAAATGCAAGTTATTGCATGAAGTGGCATTTTGTATTATTTTATGAACTCTGCCACTTTCCCGTCCCAGTTATAGGCTGCCTTTAAACAAAAACACTAATAGAGGTCTGAACAGTTTATATAAGCCTCCAGAAACGTTTCCTGATTGCTTGTGAAAATAATTTCTTAAGCGCTGGTACTGACAAGCCCAAGCTACATACACCTTGGTTTTGCACATAAAATATTCCTTGCAGTTTGGGACAGTTTGCACCAGGCTTTGTATCTTTGGGGCAAGTGAAACACATCTCTTGGAATGATCACCTCTGCCTGCTTTACCTGCTTTCTTACCTGTCCTGTTCAGGAGTTTCCAATCCAGATAATGGGAAATATGACGAAAGCCTGGAAAAAAATCCCTTGCCCCCAACTTTTTAAAGAATTTAAAGTAGAACCAAAAGCGGAACATTTATTCCAGTAGCTTAAAACCAAACAGGTTGCCCTCAGCCACCCGATCTGATGCCTTGGGGCACCCTAAAACCTAACTGAGCAGCAATTCTGAGATTTGGAGGCTCAGATGGTGCACATTGCCTAGGAAGTCACTCTTGGGTGCTCCAAGGTGTCCTGCTCAGATTAGCGCAGGGAATTTTCCACCTCTCAAGAGAGACATTCTCTCTTTAGGAGGCTTAAAGAAGGGGTGTCCAAACTTGGCAACTTTAAGACTTGTGGACTTCACCTCCCAGATTTTTATCTATCTATCTATCTATCTATCTATCTATCTATCTATCTATCTATCATCTATCTAATCCTATCCTATCCTATCCTATCATCTATCTATTTATCTATCATCTATCATCCATCCCTCCATCCATCTATCATCTATCTATCTATCTATCTATCTATCTATCTATCTATCTATCTATCATCTATCTACAAGTTGCAAGAAGCAATGCAACTTCCTAAGACCTAAAGACAGACTGATGAAGGAAGAACAGCTCCTACTTATTTCCATCCATTACCACCAAGTACCAGCACTTTCTTGTAGTCTGGAAGCCTGGAATCGCCTTTCCTATAAGCGATCACTTACACAGCTAAGGCCGTACAAATTACACTCCAGAGCAGTATTTCTCAACCTTCACAACCTTATACAGGGAGTCCTTGAATTTTACCACCACAATTGAGGCCAAAATTTCCATTTTTAAGTGAGACATTTGTTAAGTGAGCTTTGCCCCATTTTACGACCTTTCTTGCCACCGTTGTTCAGCATTCCAGTTGATAAGTTCGTAACCTGGTTGTTAAGTGAATGTGGCTTCCCCATTGACTTCGCATGTCAGAAGGTCGCAAAAGGGGATCCCATGACTTTGGGACACAGCAATGGTCACAAATATGAACCAGCTGCCAAACATCTGAATTTCGATCTCATGATCACAGGGATGCTACAAAGATTGTAACTGAAAAACTCACATTTTCAGTGTCCTTGTAAATTTGAGCAGTCACCAAGCAAAATATTGTAACCTGAGGACTACCTGCATTGTATTGACTTCAATTCCCAGAATTCTCGAGGAATCTATGCTGGCTGGGGCATTCTGGGAGTTGCAGTCCACAAGTCTTAAAAGTTACCAAGCTTGGACACCCCTGGTTTACAAGCTCCGGAGCGCGTATCCCTGGCTACCACTCCAGCCACGTGCACCCAGCTGTCTTAGCCTCTGAGGCCGAGAGCAGCCACAGGAAATGGGACCACTCGCCACAGCCAACTCCTCACGGCCAACTCGCTGGGGGACGACAACAATGTAACAATTCTATTTTAATTATTTAAAATAAATAAAAACTGTATATAATTTGTAAAGATTGTTACAATTTGAATGTAGACAAATAATTATAGCTTATATAGAATAGTAATCGATAAAATTTGAAACTATGTAAATATGAGCGATGCCGATACTGGAGCGCTGTAACGAGTGGAAATCAGAGAGTGGGTTCCAGCAGGTTCTGACCAGTTCTGGAGAACTGGTAGCGGAAATTTTGAGTAGTTCGGAGAACCAATAAATACCACTTCTGACTGGCCCCACCCCATCTATTCTCTGCCTCCCAAGTCCCAGCTGATCAGGAGGGAATGGGGATTTTACAGTATCCTTCCCCTGCCACACCCACAAAGCCATGCCCCGCCCACAAAGCCGCACCCACAGAACCAGTAGTAAAAAAAATCTGAAACCCGCCACTGGTGGAAATGGGTGTGTTAAGGTTGAAATATGTTTAATAAAAAATTATTCTACCAATGATAATAATAATAGTAATAATAATAGTAATAGTAGTAATCATCATCATCATCATCATCAAGATTTTTTTTTCAAATTTTTGCCATTCCCATTTCACCCCGCCCTTCCTTTTTGCATCCTTTCTTTAACGATTCGATGCCACCCTTCCTTTGAGATTAGCCTATAACTTTTTGTCCCGCCGGCGAGCTGGCCGGGGCGAATTGTCATATAAGACCCGCAAGACCGAAGCCGAGGCAGCCCTTGGCGCCGCCCTCCCTCGCCGGCTGGAGCAAGAGGCCGAATCCGAGCCAGGGGCGGAGCCGTCGCCGGGATCCTCCGCCTCTCCTCGCCTCTTGCTGGGCGCCCGGCTTGCGACGCGCTTTGGCGGGAAGCGGCGATTTCGGAAGAGGAGGCGGGTGAGAGCGCGCGGGGACGCAACCGGGGCTGGAGCCGTCGGGACTCGGGCTGTCCTTCCAGCCGAAGCAACGGGAGGGAGAGGCTTGGGGAGCGGGGGGGGGCTAGTCCAGGGAGGGGGCTCTGGACGGACAGGCCGGGCTTGGCCCCCTCTCCCGCCCTGCCTGGGCTTGCGGCTGGGCGAAAGCGCGCTTGGACTTGCCGCTGCGTTTGGAGTTGGGAATTGCAAAGCAAAGGGGGGCGCCCGGTTGGGGAAGGTAGCTCCGTTATTGTAGGTTCAGCTCTGCCCCCCCCTCCAGTTTTCAGCTGCCCCCGCCCCAACGTTTGGCATTATCTACGCCAGGGGTCTCCAAACTTGGCAGCTTTAAGACTTGTGGACTTCAACTCCCAGAATTCTCCAGCATAGCATAGCTGGCTGGAGAATTCTGGGAGTTGAAGTCCACAAGTCTTAAAGCTGCCAAGTTTGGGGACCCCTGATCTACGCGCTGAGCAAGTGGGTTACTCTTCTTTAGGGCAGGGGTCTCTAACCTTGGCCAAGGAATTCTGGGAGTTGAAGTCCACAAGTCTTAAAGTGCCAAGTTTGGGGACCCCTGATCTACGCGCTGAGCAAGTGGGTTACTCTTCCTTTAGGTTAGGGGTCTCAAATCCTTAGGGCAGGGGTCTCCAACCTTGGCCAAGGAATTCTGGGAGTTGAAGTCCACAAGTCTTAAAGCTGCCAAGTTTGGGGACCCCTGATCTACGCGCTGAGCAAGTGGGTTACTCTTCCTTTAGGGCAGGGGTCTCCAACCTTGGCCAAGGAATTCTGGGAGTTGAAGTCCACAAGTCTTAAAGTGGCCAAGATTAGAGACCCCTGCTTTAGGGGAAAACCCCCCCCACCTCAAGACTGATCCTTAGGGCGCCCTGAGTCTCCTGTTAATTGCACCTTTTGTGCATGGATGGCGCTTTGGGGTCAGTTGGATTTTAGCCTTGGTTTGAGCCAAGGTTGGCCACCTGGGTCCAAATTTTACAATTGAGTAACTTTTAACAGTTACCAAAGGTAATTTGGATAGATGTGGACTTTCAACTCCCAGAGTTCCCCTAGCCATGTTGCCTGGAGAATTCTGGGAGTTGAAGGGCGACACAACATGAGTTGCTAAACTGGAAGAACATCTGTCATGGAGTGTAGTTTCTATGTTTCTGTGCAAGGGGAAAGAGTCTTACAGGAAAGAGGATTCTAGATTATCAGATTTACACCAAATTGCTGGTTCTTGGTTCCAGAAGATGGATGGAAATAACCTTCCTTCATCAGTCTGTCTTCAGGTCTGGAGAAGGTTGCGTTGCTTCTCGCAACGTGTACAAATATGTGTTTGTGTGTGTAGGTTGCATCAACAATGAATTCGGGGCCACAAGATTCAATTTGTTTTATTTTGGAGGGAGTAGCTTCTGATACCTCGAGCCTTTCTCCTGCCCTGTGTCTTCCAAAAGCATTTTTTTTTTCTCATGCAAGTCACTGGTAAGTCCTAGGATAGGATTTCCCTCCTCCCAGAATTCTTTATGCTAGCTGGGGAATTCTGGGAGCCAAAGTCCACACAACTTAAAGTGGCTAAGGCTGAGAAACCTATTCTAGACTAATCTGTTTTGTTTTGGGTTTTTTTGCAACTAGTTTTCTGTTACTCAAGATTCACATGAGCAGGTATATCTTAGATTCACCCTCCTGGGCTTATTTACTTAGCTATTCCTGTTTATTAATAAATAAAATGAACAAGTAAATGGAATGAAAAATGCAACATATATATTAGTAAATGAACTGAAGTATACATACACGCAAACTTCTTTTGTTTCTTCAGTTCATTTACTAATAAATAGGAATAAGTAAGTAAATAAATAATATATATGATTAATGAGTACCCGGCAGTCCTATTTTGTAATTCTTTGCATTATATGTTTATTGATGAATAAAATAAATATTGAGTTTTTAACTGTTATGTTGTACGCTGCCCATAGTCATGTGTTTGTGAGATGGGCAGCTATATATGTGTGCTGAATAAATAAATTTCTTTTTATTTTCAAATATTTGTAGCAGATGTGCAGGTTGTGAAAATGGCAGTGCCGTTTGTGGAAGACTGGGATTTAGTGCAGACTCTTGGTGAAGGGGCTTATGGAGAGTAAGTTGCTTACGTGAATGCATAAAACATTGAGTTCAAATTTCTCATCCTGTAGAAAAAGGATGAGCTGCAAATTGTAATCCATGATACTGAAGAATTACAGAATGGGGGAAATCATGCTCTTTTAAGTTAAGGGTTCCCCCTCCCCCTGTTTTCTGTAGAAGAAAAGTGGATGGTAGGTAAAGCTATATTGATCTTAATTTCCAGGATAGAAAATTTATTTGAGTGAGCCTTGGTAGCATAGTGGTTAGAATGCAGCACTGCAGGCTACTTCTGCTGACTGCCTGCAGTTTGGCAGTTCAAATCTTACCAGGCTCAAGGTTGACTCAGCCTTCCATCCTTCCGAGGTGGGTAAAATGAGGGCCCAGATTGTTGGGGGCCGTATGCTGGCTCTGTAAACTGCTTAGAGAGGGCTGTAAAGCACTGCAAAGCGGTTTATAAGTCTAAGTGTTATTGCTATTTGCAACCCTGTTTTTGATCTCCTCTTCAGAGTTCAACTAGCTGTGAATAGGCGCACCGAGGAAGCGGTTGCAGTGAAAATGGTGGACATAAAATGTGCCGCTGAATGTCCGGATCAGATCAGGAAGGAGATCTGTATCAACAAAATGTTGAATCATGAGAACATTGTGAAATTCTTCGGGCATCGTCGAGAAGGCACTATTCAGTACCTCTTCCTTGAATACTGCAGAGGGGGCGAGCTTTTTGACCGAATAGGTATGGGAGAATTTGTAGGATGCCACACAATGACTTCGGTACAATCTGGGGATAATAGTGTTATTTTACTACGAAGGCAGAGGTGGGTTTCAGCAGGTTCTGACCAGTTCTAGAGAACCGGTAGCAGAAATTTTGAGTAGTTCGGAGAACCGGTAAATACCACCTCTGACTGGCCCCACCCCCATCTATTCTCTGCCTCCCGAGTCCCAGCTGATCAGGAGGAAATGGGGATTTTGCAGTAACCTTCTCCTGGAGTGGGGAGGGAATGGAGATTTTACAGTATCCTTCCCCTGCCACGTCCACCAAGCCATGCCCACCAAACCATGCCACGTCCACCAAGCCACACCCACAGAATCGGTAGTAAAAAATTTTGAAACCCACCACTATACGAAGGAACCTTGTGGGAATTCCTGTGTAGCTACAAGAAAAGCAACTCAAACTAGTTGGATTATTTTAGTTCAGTTGGAATCTATTTCCCATTTATCACAGTGGATAATTTATTGTTGTTTTATCCATTCAGTCGTGTCCGACTCTTGGAGACTTTATAGGCAAGTGCTTTCCATGCTAAATTGTCTAATTGTCTCCATGGGACAATTTATAAGACCCAGTTTATATGCTCCATGGTGGTTTGTTCGCTGTATAAACCATGGTTGGTTGAATTCAGTAATATACCAAAACTAAAACTAAGCAATTTTCATTGTAGCTGAGCGCAGTGTATGAATCTTGTTTAAAAAAAAACCAATCAGCTACTACAAGCCGTCATTGTGAAATCAAGCCTTTTCTGCCCGCAGGCTGGTTAAAGAAAAGGCATCACCACTGGCAGTGGAGTTAGACTGTCTATTTTTAAATTTGCTTATTTTCTACAATTTAAGCTTGGGTTCAATTTAAAATGGAAATATAGAAGAATTTAAAAGACTTGCGATATAAAACTGCCTCTCCAATTAGGACATGGTTTAAATGTAACTGTTTGATTGTCTTATTCTTTCAGGGTTATTTAAATGCATCTATAACAAGCCAGCTTTAAAATAAACTAATATCAGTTAAAAAGATTCCAAATTAGATGGTTAATTAAGAGCTAATCCTCCCTTCTTCCCCATCTTCTGATCGTGATTTTACATTGATGGTATTGTCATTTTATTGATTAGGCGTATTTGAGGTTAATTTTAATGTCTATAAGCTCTAAGATGCCCAGAGTTGGTTTGAAATGTTACGAGTGGCAAATTAATAAATAAAAATTAGTCAAGTTGCAGAAAGAAATATCCCTTTGTAAAACTTAATCCCTTTATTGGCATTAGCGTCTCCAGCCATACTGTCTTAAAATGTAGGATTCTACATTTTAGGAAAAGAAGTTATTGATGATGTAGATTATTTTAGCATCTGCATAACAATAATATGTTTTTTTTCCTAGAGCCTGATATCGGCATGCCAGAATCAGAAGCACAGAGACTTTTCCACCAGCTAATTGCTGGCGTGGTGAGTCTCTTTATGCTGACTTTTCACTGATCGCTCCCACATTCTATTTTGAAGTTGATGTGGGCAAAAAGAAATTAATACAATTACATTTTTTTTAATAAGGTCTATCTCCATAGCATAGGAGTGACACATCGGGATATTAAGCCAGAGAATCTGCTACTTGATGCAAGAGGTACGTAATTTTTCTTTTGTACCCTAAAATGTTAGGGTTATAGGGGATCAGAGGGGGAAAAGTTTGTCTCCAGAAAACAGAGGATTCATTTTAGTCTTCAGATAGACTACTCCAAATTTCTGCTTTTTAGCTACTACTCACCCAATAGTCTTAGGAATCCTACACTTATTAAGAGAGACACTGTCTGTATTTTGTCAATCACTAAAAAAAAAGCTGTAATCTTTCACTCAACCAGTTTACATCTAAATCAAAGAAAAAGTTGATTACATGGAGAAACAGAGTGATTGGCTAAGTTTCTGCAGAACTCCTTTTGCAATGAGGATAGGGGCAGTTAGCAGGTTGCCAACTCATATCACAGATGGATGTGGATTGCAGAGGCTGCCTACTGCAGAGCTGCTTACTCTAGGGGGTCACTGAAAATGGGAAGGGTGTACAGATAGTCCTCGGCTTAATTGAGCCCAAAATTTTTGTTGCTAAGTGAGTTTTGCTCCATTTTGTGACCTTGCTTGCCACAGGTATTAGGTGAATCACTGCAGCTAAGTCAGTAACACAGTTGTTAAGTGAATCTGGCTTCTCCATTGACTTTGCTTGTCAGAAGGTCGCAAAAGGGAATCATGGGACCCCGGGACATTGCAACTGTCATAAGTATGAACCAGTTGCCAAACATCTGAATTTTGATCCCGTGATCAATGGCCGTAAGTGTGAAAAATGGCCATTAGTCAGTTTTTTCAATGCCATTCTAACTTTGAACGGTCACTAAATGAAATGTAAGTCAAGGACTACCTGTAGTTTGTATACTCTTTCCTAATGTATTCATTAAGATCATGAGCGAAATGCTGGAAATGGGACCTCTCTTCTTTACCTGGAGATTTCTTTGCCTCTTCTTCAGCCTCCTGGATATTTTTCTGGGTTAAAAGTCTATGGAGATTCTCAGTCATCCAGGTCAAAAGTGTCTGGATGTCCCAAAAGTGCTTTTTCAAGAGGCAACTGGACTTTATTTTTCCTGGAGGATGTTTCGCTTCTCATCCAAGAAGCTTCTTCAGCTCTAACTGGATGGTGGGGAATGGAAGGATTTTTACTCCTTGCAGACAGCTGGTCATTTGCATCCTTTTAACCAGTCATTAAGGCCAGCTGGAGGTTTATCTGTGTCCTCAGGCATTCTGGGTTAACTTGAGTGCTTTTCCTGTGATTTCATTTGAATTAATCCAATGTGAAGGATGATGCAGTGTCCTTTGTGCTTTGCTCAGACAACCTCAAGATCTCAGACTTTGGGCTCGCTACCGTATTTAAATACAATGGCTGTGAGCGACTGCTGAACAGGATATGTGGCACGCTTCCATACCTGGCCCCCGAAGTCCTGAAAAAGAAAGAATTTCACGCTGAGCCTGTTGATGTTTGGTCATGTGGAATAGTGCTGACTGCAATGTTAGCAGGAGGTAAGAGCTACCTACAATCAAATTCCTTTTTCCTAATAGGAATTCTTATAAAACGAAGAGCAGACGCCTATTTATTGGGAATATGGATTAATTAGGAATCTTCTGTGTAACCTTTTGTGTTTTTGTTAAATTTGGCTCTAAAACGTGGTTTCCTTTTCTGCAGAATTGCCGTGGGACCAGGCTGCCGATACTTGCCAAGAATATTGTGATTGGAAAGAAAGAAAGACTTATCTTTCCCCATGGAAGAAGATTGATTCATTGCCCCTCGGTACTTCAGCAGATTGAATAATCCTTTCTCTAGACTGGGAGATTATCTATGACTTTTCCCTTTCTTGATCTGTAATGTTCTTTGGAGAAACCCAGGAGGAATACGGGTTAATTTTTTACGGACTCAGATTCATCATCCAGAGAACATTGCAAATCCAATGTTAAAAAGTTTTGTTTGAAGATGTTTCACAATAGAGTATTTTAATCGAAGTTGCTTTTGTATCATTTAATTCTTCGCATTTTTTTTTCTTGCAGCCTTTCTTCTCAAACTCTTAAATGAAAACCCCTCATCCAGGCTTACGATTGCAGACATTAAAAAAGACAGATGGTATACAAAACCTTTAAGGAAAGGTGAGTGTCTATGGAGATTCTCAGTCATCCAGGTCATGGTTGTCCCAAAGGTGCATTTTCAAAAGGCACAGCTGGACTTTGTTTTTCCTTGAGGACTGTTTTTCCTTCAGTTCTGAACTGAAGAAGCTTCTTGAATGAGAAGTGAAACGTCTGCAAGGAAAAACAAAGTCCAGTTGCTTTCTGAAAAAGCACCTTTGTGAGCATATTTTACATGCCTCTTAGAGTGACATCCATTTTTAAACCTTAAGACGTGGGGTTTTCGGGGTTTAATATTGTTATGGATCCCACAGAAGGAGCAAGTCATGTTTCAAAAAGTTTTGTTTTTGATCGTCAATCAACCACCAATGAATAGTAATTAGGAGCAGTAGTTATCGATGAGATTTCTCTTTCACTATTTTCATTGTCACTTTTTTCTCAGGATGGTAACTGAGACAGCTTAGATTCTTAGTATGCACCCATATTTGGCTTGTTTGAAATAGTCACAGGCATAAAGTAGAAATGTAAAACTTTCATCTAAAACTACACTTCCCAGCATCCCTCGGCTAAGGCTGCTGGATGTATATAGTTCAGCACCATCTGGAAAGTCCAACATTGATGTTAGATGAACACTTGTAATCCCCCCCCCCATGAGTGATTTGTACCATCTGAATCACAGTTAGATATGAAAAGTAGGTCTTGATCAGTTTATTCTTTGTCTTTTGAATTAAATTGAATATTTTATTTAGCCAAGGGTGATTAGACACACAAGAAATTTGTCTCCAGTACAGAAGCACTTAGTGTATTTGCAAAGCAACAGAGAGAATAATAATGGTAGTAATACGAATAAAAAAAAAGTGATGCAGTGGCTAAGACGCTGAGCTTGTTGATCGGCAGTTCAGTGGTTCAAATCCCTAGTGCCGCATAACAGAGTGAACTCCCGTTACTTGTCTCAGCTTCTGCCAACCTAACAGTTTGAAAGCACATAAAAAATGCAAGTAGAAAAATAGGGACCACCTTTGGTGGGAAAGTAACAGCGTTCCGTGCACCTTTGGCATTTAGTCATGCTGGCCACATGACCACGGAAACATCTTCAGACAGCCCTGGCTCTTCGGCTTAGAAACGGAGATGAACACCACCCCCTAGAGTCAGGAACGACTAGCACATATGTGCGAGGGAAATCTTTACCTATAATACCAATAAAAGGGAGAAGTAAAGAAGATAATAAAAAGGATAAATTATAATGCTACAGCCACACTGTTTGAGATAATATATGTACACATTAGACAGAACTGCAGGAATTAAGTGTTCAGCAGAGTGATGGCATGAAGGAAAAATCTGTCCCTGTTTTATTAGCTTTAGCAGCAGAAAGGGAGAATTGGCCAAAGAAAAATACAGACGATAGGAAAGCTGTCTCATTTTCATTCAGGGAGTTTTACATTTAATAAGTCTACGTTGATTTATTTTTTCTGATCCTTCAGAGAGGAATATATTATATTATACATTATATTATATGTGACCACAATAAAGATGGGTTGATTGAATATAAGGTGGTCAACAGCCGTAAAGAGCTGCAGGTCCTAGCCTGGCCTCAAAACACTTAATTTTACTTAAATTGTTTTGTTTAGATCCTAATCATGACATCTCTGTCTTTGTAGGCATAAAGCGATCCCGGGGCTCTTCTGGAGGATCTTCTGATTCACCAGGAGGTTTTTCTAAGCACATTAGATCAGATATGGATTTCTCTCCCGTAAAAGATGCACACAGGTAAAGACACTCTTATGTATGGGTAGTGTCAAGTAATCTAACTTCATTAGAAACAGCACTGTTTGTGTAAATGATTGTGGTGTGAGTTGTTCTCATTAGTTCCCTAAGACGCATACATACATGAAATTTGGGACATTCTTTTAGGCAAGATAAGAGCTCAGAAGTAGCAATAGCACTTAGACTTATATACCGCTTCACAGTGCTTTACAGCCCTCTCTAAGTGGTTTACAGAATCGGCATATTGCCCCCAACTATCTGAGTCCTCATTTTACTAACTACGGAAGGATGGAAGGTTGAGTCAACCTTGAGCTGGTGAGAATCAAACTGCTGGCAGTCGGCAGTCAGCAGAATTAGTCTGCAATACTGCTTTCTAACCACTGTGCCACCATGACTAGAGTATAGATTGGAAAATTCAATCTCTAGAAACTTCTAGTTGGGCTTGAAAATTGCTGGCCTAAAATCCTACAGAGATGCCACTTATCAAACTTGATGGTCCTAGACTAGGTACAGCTATGATGTGTATCAATTGAAGGCCACCGTTTTTTCCACATTCTGATGGACTTGCATCATCACAACGTTCTACCTATCTTCTGTATCAAACTAAAGATCCAAAGATAATTGGATAATTGGATCTGTGAACAATTGGTTGGTCTGAATTAATCTTCCGTTTGAGATGTCCATCCATGCTGGCTGGATATTTTGACTGGTTAGTGATCTCACTTGAGTAACCTGGAATATGCTGAGATTTGGAATTTCATTGGGGAAAATGGAAACCTAGGTTGTATGTATGGATTAGCTTTAATAGTCATGTGCCAAATAATGGCTTATACAGTCCAGTGCGGATAGCAGTGTACTTTCTGAAAGCACGATACGGATGCACTCTAACATTGTGATGACAACTATTTTTGTTGTGGCAGTGAGGAAAAAAAGATCTGTTCCAATTCCCAGCCAGAACCAAGAACTGGGCTCTCCTTGTGGGACAGCAGCCCAGGCAATATCGAGAAATTGGTGCAAGGGATTAGCTTTTCTCAACCAGCCCGTCCTGAGCACATGCTGCTGAACAGCCAGCTGTTAGGCACTCCAAGTTCATCGCAGGTAACTCTGCCTGGTGGAACACTTGGCTTCTCTTTGTTCTTAAATCACTACAGGGAGTCCTCAATTTACAACCATTCATTTAGGGACTGTTTGAACTTACAAAGGCACTGGATAACAGTGATTTATGACCAGTCCTTGCACTTAATAACCATTGCAGCATCTCCACGGTCACAATTCAAGCACTTGGCAACTGGCATGTATTTACAATGGTTGGGGCATTCCAGGGAGGCGTGATTGCCAATTGCACCCTTCCTAGCCAGTTTCCGACAAGGAAAGTCAGTATGGGAAGAAGCCCAATTTGCTTAATGGCTGCATGATTCACTTAACATTTGTAATTTTCCAACCATGGGGAGAAAAATCAGGCATGACTTCCTTAACTGCCTTGCTTAGCAATGGAAATTCTGACCCCGATTGTGGTCGTAAGCCGAGGACTACCTCTACATTGGGTTTTCCTTTCCTCTTTAAACCCCATCCTTTGATTTGAAATTTACTAATAATAATTGGAATTAATAATGTTTTTTTTTCATAACAAAACTAAAGGATAAATGCATGGTTTCGATGAAAACCTTAACATCTAACTTTGGGAAATCACATGGGTTCCGGAGAAGTCAGCTGAATTGCTCAGTTTACAATTTCTGACATTTTCTGTCTTTGTCTCTCTTAGAACCCCTGGCAACGTCTCGTAAAGAGAATGACCCGTTTCTTTTTGAAATTGGATGCTGACCAGTCTTACCAAATCTTGAAGGAGGTTTGTGAAAAGATGGGCTACGTCTGGAAGAAAGGTTGCACAAACCAGGTATAAAAGTAACACCTTTACTATATATATTGGTTGAATAAACGAAGGAATATGTAATAGAGCTAGAACTGCATATGGATAGTATTTGTTGCAATTCTTAGCTATTGCTAACATTATTATTATATTATTTGGTAAAGGTAAAGGTTCCCCTTGTACATATGTGCTAGTCATTCCCGACTCTAGTTCATCTCCGTTTCAAAGCCGAAGAGCCAGTGCTGTCCGAAGATGTCTCCGTGGTCATGTGGCCGGCATGACTAAATGCCAAAGGCGCACGGAACATTGTTACCTTCCCACCAAAGGTGGTCTCTATGTTTCTACTTGCATTTTTTACGTGCTTTCGGACTGCTAGGTTGCAGAAGCTGGGACAAGTAACGGGAGCTCACCCCGTTACTCGGCACTAGGGATTCAAACCGCTGAACTGCCGACCTTTCGATCGACAAGCTCAGCGTCTTAGCCACTGAGCCACCACTTCCCACAATTATACTATTACATATTATAATTACAAACTGGAGCACCAGTTTGCTGTAGTGGTTAAGATGCTGGCATAGAAATTAGGAGACTGAGAATTGTAGTCCTGTTTTAGTCATAAAAGCCAGCTGGATGACTTTGTGTCCATCCTTTTTTAATTTCTCTTAGGATGTTTATTTGTGATTACTTCGTAGCCAGGGAAGTTCCTTATTTACTCCAAAATATTGCTAGGGGAAAAATCCATTTATAAGCCTTGCCGTGTGCTTCAGTAAACAGCACCCATGACTATAATAATAATTATACATTGTGAGACTTTCTGTCAGCCCCCACCACAGCAAGAAGTTCTGCTGGAAGACTAACTTTACTTCTTCCATTCTGATCAGTAATTCTTTCTCTTGAAAGGTCACCATATCCACCATGGACAGAAGAAACAACAAACTGATTTTCAAAGCAAACTTGGTGGAAATGGATGAGAAAATTCTTGTGGATTTCCGATTGTCAAAGGTAAAGTCTATTTTAGCAATATGTCTAAGCCTAGGCAGAAGAAAAGAACATTTGTACTCGTAATAGATTTGTTTACAGAAACAAGGAATAATAATCATAGCAGTGCTTCTACAGATGGTCCTTGAGTTACAACCATTCGTTTAGTGGTCATTCAAAGTTAACAAGGGTACTGACTTACATCCAGTCCTCACACTTGCAATCTGCGCAGTGTTCCCACCATCGTGGGATCAAAATTTGGGTGCTTGGCCAATCAGCATGTATTTTACAATGGTTGCAACTTCCTAGGATTGCACAGTTGCAAATTGCGACCTTACCAACTGGTTTCTGACAAGCAAAGGCAATGAGGGAAAACTGAATTCATTTAATGACTGCAGGATTCACTTAACTGCATTGATTTGCTTAACAACTATGGCAAGAAAGGTCGTAAAATTGGGCAGAACTCACTTAATAACGACTTCGCTTAACAACAGAGAAATTTGGCCCAGTTGTGGTCATAATTTGAGGACTACCTGTATTCTACTTTGGTTACAGGACTCTTTTTATCTTTTCTTTTTGTACACCGAGAGCATATGCACCAAAGACAAATTCCTTGTGTGTTCAATTACACTTGGCCAATAAAGAATTCTGTTCTGTTCTGTTCTGTTCTGTTGTTCTGTTCTGTTCTGTTCTGTTCTGTTCTGTTCTGTTCTGTTCTATTCTATTCTATTCTATTCTATTCTATTCTATTCTATGAGCAGTTTATATATTACATATCAAACATGACTTACAAATCCACGATTATTAAAATGATTAAAGCTGCACATTTATACCATCCTGCATAGTATGAATTTGAGCTGATCATCCTTTCATTTCTAATATCTAAAAAAGTTTTTTTAGCTAATATTTTTATTACTTGTTGATAGGATGCTAAATATGTCAGAATCCAGTATTTTGTACTGTAAAAATACTTCGAAGCTAAGCTTTTTCTTTCTTTCTCATTTTCCACACAGGGTGATGGTTTGGAATTCAAAAGGCATTTCCTGAAGATCAAAGAGAAACTAAATGATGTTGTCAGCCCACAGAAGTTATGGCTCCCAATGACATGATTGCCTTCTGGTTGAAAAACAAGTGAATTTGGCTGCAGTGTTTTCAGCCATAGGACAGTTTATGCTAAGGCATACCCTGACTTCACACACTCAGCATCCATTCCTCTTGGCTCTGACATGATCAGCAACCAATTGAGAAGTTAATATTGTGATGGGACATAATTATGTATTTTTCGTAGGGTAACCGTCATGAAAATTTCCAGTGTCTTAGATTTCATAGGCTTTTAGCTTGCATTCTACTTTATACAGATAATTCAAATGTTTTGGCACACCACCTTTTCTAAATGGGAATGTTTTCTTCTTTTTTCCAAAGCGTTGCACAAGAATACAAACTGAAGTTTTACAAAGAGCAGAAGGAAATTAAATGAAAACCAGCACCAAGCTTTGTATACTTGGGAGCTGGGTTGTTGAATTTTCAAAATGCAGCACAAACTCCATATCAGAATACCTGGCTTAGCTTGAAATTATTTTTTGGTCAAGTTTTGCTGAAAAAAAAAAAGTGACGTATTACTGTTCTTCATTTTTGAATTTTTTGCTTTGAAAGAAAGAAAACATTGCAAATGTGATTAATGTGATTTGTTAAAATATTTTTCTATGTCCAAATATCTCTTCCTTCCCATAAAAACATCTGTGTTGTTGAGCACTAAAAATGTGGAAAGTGGAGGAATGGGATAAGATTAGCAGTTTTTCCTGCATCCTATTACACTTAATTTGTTAGGTGTTCCAGGCGTTTCAGGCTCTTGTTACCGCATGTCTGAATGCTGCTTGATTGGACCATTGTGGATGCAGAGAAGAATGGAGACAAAGGACACGAATCTTTGTTCTCACCATGGTGCTGACCAGTTCTGCTTACCCATGTTCCAGCAATGTCATTTTTTAAAAAAAGAAAATAAAGCATAGAATGAAAATATTTGTCAATTTTATCGCCACAAAATATTTGTTGTTGTTAGTTGCGAAGTCGTATACGACCCATCGCAACCCCATAGACAACATTCCTCCCGGTCTTCCTGTCCTCTACTATCCTCTGGAGTCCCTTTAAGCTCACGCCGACTGCTTCGGTGATTCCATCCAGCCACCTCATTCTCTGCCGTCCCATTCTTCTTTTGCCCTCAACCGTTCTCAGCATTAGGCTCTTCTCCAGTGAGTCCTTCCTTCTCATTAGGTGGCCAAAGTATTTGGATTTTATCTTCAGGATCTGGCCTTCTGGCAGTCAGGGTTGATCTCCTCTAGGACTGACCGGTTTGATCACCTTGCAGTCCAAGGGACTTGCAGGAGTCTTCTTCAGCACCAGAGTTCAAAAGCCTCAATTCTTTGGCGCTCAGCCTTTCTTATGGTCCAACTTTCAAAGCCATACATTGCAACCATAGCCTTGACTATACGTACTTTTGTTGACAGGGTGATGTCTGCTTTTTAGTAAGCTATCTAGATTTGCCATAACTTTCCTCCCAAGGAGCAAGTGTGCCGCAAAATATATGAGCTATGCCATGCAGGGCCACAAAATATAGTGGATCTCAAAAATGACTTGTGCTTCCCTTTTGTGATCTGGTCAAATATTTTTCAATAGTATTGAAGATTTTCTGAACAACTATGTGATGCATTGAGAAGATAGCATGGCTCTACAAATTTGGTAGAAATAAATGCACGAACTGTTTATGGCTGCACACATGTTTTGTAGCTCATACAGCTTGTGTATATTATTAGAAACTGGGTCATTAGATTTATGTCACATCTTTGGAAATTCAAGATAGGTAGCACTCCCGATTTTTGTCCAAAAAGAACCACCTAGTGAGATTAGCTGGGTAGGGAGAGAGTTACTGGCCAACATAACCCAATAAGTTTCTACTGGTTGAGAATAATTTTGAATTTGAGTGTTTCTGCCCCTTGTATACCTCCTTCATCACTAAATTGGTCTTGGCTTTCTAGATACATCTATGTACTCCAATTACACAATGGTTGGAAACATATAAATAGGTCCTATTTCAATATGTTTGGTGGCCTAGTGGTGAAGACACTTCCAATTTGGAAGGTTTGGAGTTCAGTCCTAAGTAGCGGCTGATATTTTTCCCATAGAGTGCAAAGAAAAATATCTGCTCCAAATTCCATGTGGTGTCAGGAAGGGCATCCAGCCAGTAAATGTTCAGTTCCATCCACACCCCTACTCTACCCCAAATTAAGAGATTACAGGGTCCTAAAAAGAGAGATGGTGATGTATATAATTATTTTTGTATATCAAAGAAAGGAAAAGAAGCAGAGGTGTCATCTAGAGCTACTATAAACAAAACAGTTCAATTTGGTTGTACAGTAGCTTTATAAAAATCTATCCCATACAGAGTATCTTCCAATTTGAACTGCCAACTTTCAGAAAATTGACCTTGTGAATTCAGATTGATCTAATCTAGGCTTCTGAATTTCTTCTTTCACATTTGCACAGGCTCTATTCCGATTATTACAAAAGGCGTTAAAATGGTCATGTCTAAATATAGACTGTTCAGATAGGAGTCAACTATTTTACAGATCAACATCCAACACTTAATTTCTGGATTGCCTTGACCATGATTAAGCTGAAATGCAAGTTAGTACTGGCATTAATTGCTTTGTTGCTAGCAGATGTAGTGCAGTTAAATCAGCTTTCAACCTTTCTGGAGTTAAGGTGAATATATAGTAGTTAGTTACATTGGAGTTAATTACCCAGTGCTCTAAGAAAATACCTACCTTGTCCAGGCAGTGACCTACTTCCAAATCTGAGTTAATCATTGCTCATTGAACTAACTTAAGCAACATTTTAGTGTGTTTGTTTCAGAACATTTCTTCCTGGTCTTCATGAAACTCCAAAGGTAACTGGTGTCTGGTGTGAAACACTTCTCAAGTGCCTATTTTGCTGAAAGAAGAGATACTTAATTCCTATTATTTACATTCTGGCTGTGAATAGTACCTGAAATAATCTGCAATTTATTGAAGGATCAGCTAATCTATAAGAATGAAGTCTTCTATACTTTCTGAAAAATGATGGTTTATTCTTGGGCTATACTTCTCCATAATTTGGGGAAGGAATTTGTTGCTCCTCACAAACCATCCCAATCTGTTCTGTCCCTTCTGGTTTTCTTTTCTGGATGCAAATTCACATAATGCATAAGATGTTGATTGTTACTGCTTTATTCATATTCTCCTTTGTAGTAGGTAAGTTGTGAATCAAGAAAAAGACCTGATAATTCTAAAGCCCAATAGCTTTTTTACAATAATAGGAATAGCATAGTATAGCAATAACACTTAAGCTAATATACTGCCCCATAGTGCAGTATATACTTATTGGTATCATATTATGATTATTATTACACTGTTACTTTGTGTGTACATTGAGAGCATCTGCACTGGAGACAAATTCGTTGTGTGTCTAATCATAGTTGGCCAAATAAAGCTGTTCTGTTCTGTTCTGTTCTGTTCTACTCTACTCACTATATTATTAATTCTATTCTATTCTATTCTATTCTATTCTATTCTATTCTATTCTATTCTATTATTTTTTTGCTTTATAACACTCTGGCCAGTTAACAATGTAAGCATTATTTGCATGTTTGCCCCCAACTATCTAGGTCCTTATTTTATCAACCCCAGAAGGATGAAAGGCTGAGTCAACCTTGAACCCTATCAATATATGTATCAGTATCTGCATGGAAAAGAGCAATCAACCAACAAAATACGCATACGTTTTTGAACATTTTTCACATGTGAATGACTTTTTCAGAATGAAACTTTCGTTGACTCAGATTTTGATTCTTGTCTTCTTGGTATTGCTGTCCTTTCCAACAGGTATGCTTATAAAGAATAAATAATAGATAGATAGATAGATAGATAGATAGATAGATAGATAGATAATTGACAAAGAATGCAAAAAATTGCTTATAGTTCCCTTATACACATGCATTCATAATAGATGGCAGCATACTGCTGCTCTTGAAATGGTTAAGCAAGGTTGGAGTTGATTAATACTTTAATAGAAACCATAAGAAAGCCTAGGACTGTAGATTAGATTAGAAAGTTGAAAAATGATCTTGGCTGTAATAAAAAAAAAACTTTTACATTGGTGCAAAACAATCACATCATCACGAATGTTTCCATTAAATCATCAAGAGTTGCCCTCAACCTGAAGAGACCTTATTTTACTTAGACTGTATATGTAGAATTGAATATATTTTACCTCATTCCTTCTTCTGTTTGCATCATATAGCTGAAGGGCTGATATGTCATCAGTGTTATTCAGTTGGAAAGGACAATAAATGTCGCAAACCATCCACCTGCAATGGGTCTACAAAACAATTTTGCTTCATTCAAAGAAACTCCAAAGGTGAGAAACAGCGTGGAACAACTTAAAGTAATCGACACTGGACAGAACCATGCTTCTAATCTAAACAAATAAATTGTACTAGTAGAAAAGGATAATTGTAGCTCAGGATTGAATTGTGGAAAGCAGTATTTGTGAGGTCCTTGGTGCTCTCTAAGCTTGATGGTTTTCTTGCAGATGTTTCATCACTAAACTAGGTAGCATCATCCGAGCACTCATGATGTTACTTAGTTTGATAATGAAACGTCTGTAAGAAAACTAAAAAAGCTCAGCAAGCACCAAGGATCCCACAAATACTGCTTTCCCTAATATGTTCCCTTTTCCATTCTGTTCGGGTGAATAACACTGACTTTGAAATTCACGGATGGAAAGAGTTGCTCCTTAGTAACTGCCAAGTAAACAACCTATCTTATTCTAGGAATAAAATGTGAATCTATGTAATGACAATAAATATATATATAGACAATCCTAACCCTTCACCTATCTTTTTCATTTACAGGAGGACACATTAAAAGAATAAGTCAAGGTTGCACCTCTTACTGTGTAGATACTATTCAGTTCAGCAATGCCTATATAAGATATACCTTTTGCTGCAAGACGGATTACTGTAACAAATATAATATTTGGCAGTTTTTTTAACTTCAGTCTTGGCAGGAATTCTGCTGCTGACAACTGATATGTATTTTCTGATCACTTACACAAACACATATACAAATATGGAATAATAATATGAGTTGGTGGTGAATGGAGACTTCCTATTTCTTTATATGAGCTAAAGAACCCATTGGGGTGCAGCCTTACAGTATATCTCTCCAGTAAGCTTTTGTGCTTTAGGATTTTGTACAATGGTCTATAGATAGTCCTGTTTAATTACCACCATTGGGATGGGCTAATTGGTTGTTAAATAAAGCGGTTCTAAATGAAACCATAACTGTGCTTACAATTTGACTTCAGTTTTCCTATGCTTTACAGACCTGCAAAGGTCATAAATAAGAGGATGTTTTTTTTTCTATTTCTATAGCCACTTATCTCAATCCATAACTCTGGACGGCTTATAATTTGAAAAATATATTACAACAAAAATACTAAAAACATTTTAAAACAATAAAAATCAATACAATTGTCCAAAATAAATATACATAGTAGCAGAGATACCTGGCTGGTTAGCAATAAAGCCAGGAAACAGGGTTCTTGACACATCCAGAACTCCGGGCTCAGGGTGGATTAGCTGCCAAGTTACTTTTTCATCACTAATGATGAAATATTTGTGAATAGTTGCTAAATGAGTCAGTCACTAAATGAGGACTACTTGTATTCACCGGACCTAGAATTAAGGGAACGTGTGTGTCTGAATGTAATTTTCAGACAAAAATGGCCCTTGCACATTAACCTTGGCAAAACTTTGCTGCTTTTGTTAATATTGCTCCTTTTGGGAGATATATGAGCAATTTTGAAAGGCAAAATCAGAGGTGGGTTTCATCAGGTTCTGACCAGTTCTGGAGAACCAGAAATTTTGAGTAGTTTGGAGAACCGGTAGTAAAAATTCTGACTGGCCCCACCCCCATCTATTCTCTGCCTCCCAAGTCCCAGCTGATTGGGAGGAAATGGGGATTTTGCAATATCCTCCCCCTGGAGTGTGGTGGGAATGGAGATTTTACAGTATCCTTCCCCTGCCACACCCACCAAGCAATGCCACACCCAACAAGCCAGGCCACAGAACCGGTAGTAAAAACTTTTGAAACCACCACTGGGCAAAGTGTCATATCTGCACAACAGCTACACAGAGCCATCATCAAATCACTCCATGTTACTTTCTTCCCTGAGGTAAAAACTCTGAGGTAAAAAGTCAGTGATAGTTTGGGCCAGCAATAGCAGATTCTCTTCTATAGCATCTGAGCACAAGAAAAACACATTTGCAGGACAGGCTGTATAGGGCCAGTGGTGGGATTAAAATAATTTAACAACCGGTTTGCTGCCCTAATGGTTTCTTCCAACAACCAGTTCACCAAACTGCTCAGAAAGTTAGCAACCAGTTCCCCCGAAGTAGTGTGAACTGGCTGAATCCTACCACTATACAGGGCTCATAGTTCTCTTGAGGGTCACCAAAAACAATCCAGATCAGTGGTGGGTTTCAAATTTTTTTACTACCGGTTCTGTGGGTGTGGCTTGGTGGGAGTGGCAGGGGAAGGATATTGTAAAATCTCCATTCCCACCCCACTCCAGGGGAAGGATACTGTAAAATCACCATTCCCTCCCCAATCCAAGGGAAGGTTACTGCAAAATCCCCATTTCCTCCCAATCAGCTGGGACTTGGAAGGCAGAGAATAGATGGGGGTGGGGCCAGTCAGAATTTTTACTACCGGTTCTCCGAACTACTCAAAATTTCTGCTACCGGGTCTCCAGAACTGGTCAGAACCTGCTGAAACCCACCTCTGATACAGATGTTTGTGGCACCTTAAGGATCAATTGTTTCTTGAAGGTATAAGCTTTGTTGGATCACACATGAGTTCATCAGATGGGTGGGATGTTTCCTTGATGTGGAATAATGATGTGCATAAGCGCACCAGCGTGCCTACCATCCCTGTCCTAATGTTTTCTTTTATTCATATCCTTTTCATGTATTTATAATTATGTTTACACTTGTATCTGTCATAAAATATATGCTTGACGAAAATTAATTAATTAATTAATTAATTAATTAATTAATTAATTAATTATTGGATTTTTATAGCCATGACGGGATGATATTTGTGGGGGTAGAGAATAGAAAGTGAAACTAATCCATCTCAAAATGTAGCAATCACCAATTCATTTACAAAACAGTTGTTGGTTGTGACAAAGGCATTCGTATGCTGGTGAGCTGATTAGCAAACACTGTGATAAAGAAATGTTATTCTCTAATCCTTGAGAAACAGTGAAATACATCCTAAGAAACTTGAGCTTGTATTCGCTCCTTCCCACATGCATGGCTTGGTTTTTGAAGGAAATGAACATGAATAAAATACAAAATGAATAATGCATATATATCTTGCTTTGTCTTCTAATTAAGGAATTCAGACTGATTTTATTGTTTCTCTGATTTCTTCCACCCTCATTTTTCCCAAAAAAGACTACCTTGTTTCCTTGCCATTTTTTCCTTGCCAAATAAAGAAATAATTGGAAAGTTTTCTAAAACACAATGGGTGCCTTACATTTCTCCAAAAGAGAGAGGGAGGGAGGGAGGGAGAGAGGGAGGGAGGGAAGGAGGGAGAATGAATGATAGAGGGTCAAAGGGATTTTGATCCACTGTCTATGAAAGATTCTGGGTTCTACAAAAGGATACTGATGGGTTACACATTTTGCATATTTAATGCTTGCCCTACTGAAAATAGTTGTATACCTGATTCTGGATGGATGATAGTGTCATGGAATGGGAACTAAAGATGGTTCCCTTAGCCCACATGAGAAACTGGGACATTTGTGGAGGGTCAAACCAATAGGCTGAATTTTATACTGCTTAATATTAATTTTTTTGCTTTATAATAAAGCAATTAATTATATTGTTTAGATTGATGATTAGGGGACTGGAGACTAAAACATATGAAGAACGGTTACAGGAACCTGGCATTGCTAGTCTAGTGAAGAGAAGGACCAGGGGAGACATGGTAGCATTGTTCCAATATTTGAGGAGCTGCCACAGAGAGGAAGGAGTCAAGCTATTTTTCAAGGCACCTGAAAGCCAAACAAGGAATAATGGATGGAAACTGAACAAAGAGAGATTCAACCTAGAAATGAGGAGGAACTTTCTGACAGTGAGAACAATCAAACAATGGAACAGAAGTTGCCTTCAGAAGTTGTGGGAGCTTCATCACAGGAGGCTTTCAAGAAGAGACTGGACTGCCATTTGTCAGAAATGGTGTAGGATCTCCTGCTTGAGCAGGGGATAGGACTAGATGACCTACGAGGTCCCTTCCAACTCCATTAATCTGTTAACAACTGTTAGCTGCTACTACCGTAGTAAGAATACATGTTATATCTTATTTACATGTGATTTCTAATTGCATAAGTACATGTAACTTCTAAGAGCCATGGTGGCACAGGAGTTAGAATGTGGTATTACAGGCTAATACCACATTCACACATTCAGTCACACTCTGCTGTCTGCTAGGAGTTTGATCCTGACTGGCTCATGGTTGACTCAGCCTTCCAACCTCAGTAAAATGAGACCCAGATTGTTGGAGGCAATATGCTGACTCTGTAAACTGCTATGAAGCAGTATATAAATCTAAGTGCTATTTCCAGTTGACTTCATGTAGGCCACAGAGGCCAGCCAAAGGGCCAGATGTGGCTCAGGGGCCATAAAAAAACCAGATCTGCCTTAGCCCCTAGGGGACTTTTATTGCAGCTTTCAATTGTTAATTTGATTGAAACAGATTTAAGAAGCTTCCACCCCCCCCAAAAAAACCCCTCCCAAGTAGCTCAATAGTAGCAAACTATAGACAATGTTGTACCACCAAAGGTACTTGTTCAAGATGCAGCTGGACTTTGTTTGCCTCTTGAAAAAGTATATTTGGGACAACCATGACCTGCATGACTGAGAATCTCCATAGACATATGGAAAATGCTGGTGTCATCTTCTGCAGACTTCACCCTTCCAAATCACATTATGTCCCCCTACGTTAATTACTGTTGAGTTTTATTTGTTTATTGTTAAATTTGTTGGCCTCCAATTTTGCCGCAAGCTGATTCTTGCTGTTTCCCAATAAAAGTGATTCTGGTTAGTTAAAATACCAAACCTTTTGCATCTGGGTGTTGATGTTATCATATCTTCCCAGACCTACGTATTTAGAGTCAGCACTGCCTACTAAGAGATACCACACTGTGTGCCTATCACAACGTACCCAAAGTGGGAGAATCGAAGAAGAAAACATGCAACCTTTGGCTCATCTAGTTCTAATCAAATCATTATGATCTTTCTGAGATCTTAGTTGCTGTATTAGGAGTTTACTGGAGATTCAATCCGGAAGTTGCTAAGTGGGAAAAATTAGATGAGGTGGCAATGCATTTTCCCCTTGGAGAACGTATGATGACTTGTCATTATCGACACCAACTACAAATCAGTCGTCAGGTAAATTGAAGATTTCCCAAATCTCTGTAGCTTCCCCAAAATCATGGTAGCTTCTTCCCCCCCGCAATCCCATTACATTGTGGTCTGACGTTCCTACTATTATTATTTTCAATTCATTCAGGTCCCAGCTGTGATTCCTCTTGAGCTCAAGCAACACCAAGGGATGATGAACAGACTACTGAATTATGTGCTCTGCATGCTTTTCATCATATCCACTGGTAAGTCTTTAAACTTCAACCCCTGTAGAAAAGGTGGAGAAAATATTTCAGGTTTTGAAATATAACCAAAGCATTTTAGAAATCAGTATAGGTAGGTATAGAACTTATGATCACAACTGAGCTCAAAATTTATATTGCTAAATGAGACAGTTGTTAAGTGAATTAGGGGTGTCATGATAGCAATATTCCAGTACTTGAAGGGCTGTCACAAAGAAGAGAGGGTCAAATTATCCTCCAAAGCACCGGAGGGCAGGATAAGAAACAACGGAT